TTACTTAAAATACTTCTATGTTTATTAAATATATGCTCAATTTAGTCCAAACTGAAAAACTGAATTGCAGTAAATTTAGCTACTTATTCGTTTTTTATTCCATCTGTGGACTCCTCACAATATTGTATATCGTATGTGATATATATTGCATTTTCATATATTTATTGTTCTGAGTTGCATATAAAACGAGGTTATTGGCATTTACAGGAAGATACTATTCCAGTTTTTTCTACTCCAAGAATGTTAATTCAGTTTTGCTGTTAGTAATTGTTTGTGAAATTTACTAGCAAATGTATAATTATAAAACCCCCAATTTTGTTTCAGTGTATATAACAGTGGTTTGCACCCTAAAATTGGGTCAAAGGTCTGTCCAGTTAAGAGAAGGGAGAAAAGCAATGCTGAATGCAAATAATAAAATGCTACAAATCGTATAATCATGCCTATTATAAAAACTTAAAACTTAACTTAAAACAACAAAAAAGCCACAAGAAAATGCTTCTGCGCATTATTACCTCTTCTTCTTAAAAAAAAAAAATTAAATACAACAAAAAAGTTCATTTTCCCAAATCAGCGTGCATCATGTTAATAAGTTTGCCAATTATTTGATCTATATTTATTGTAATAGGCTATAATATTAAAACCAAAGTTTGATTATAACAACATTTTTGCATGATAAACAGTCGGCATTGTGATTTTCAATGCAAAATCTGGGGCCTGAAACTTACTTTGCCAATGAATAAGAATATGAATTCTTACACTGATTCTGCTTAAAATCTGTCCTTTTATCTGGAAGTAATGTAAAAACATTCAAATGTCGAGTGCTCCTTTTAACAAGTTAATTGAATCCTGAACTCTGGGTTCCTGGTTTTTTATTTGTCCTCTTCAGGCAGAGGCATAACCCATCGTTTCTCGCTCTCGTCAATGCCAGCGTCCTGCCCTCCTCTTGTACCACCAGACCGGTCGACACATTAAATCGTGACTAGCCCGTGGCATCCATCCAGCCGCTCTCAACAAAGAGCTAATATTCCCCTGCAACGTGCCAGCCGCACGCATACTGACCGTGCCCCCGTAACGACCGGCGTATGGAAAACAAATTGCCGAGGCCGGGATCAGACACCACGCGGATGTTTAAGGCCTCGTGGTGGCAGCCCACCCGACAACTCCCACTATTATTTATCACGCTGTTTTAAATGTTTTTCTCATTTGTTTCCCCTAAATATTTCATCGTCCCTTAAATATTCATTTAACTTCTTCTGCTTTTGAATTTTTTACCAGTTTACGCGTCTTTCTCGGGCTCAGCAATCATAAATAATTATGCATGCGCTCCTAGAAACAGACTGCATAAATCATGCACACGAATTCTTTTTTGTCTTTTCTCATTAAGACGCGTAGCCTACATACTTCCCACTGCCCCCCACTTGTGGAAATTGGATGCTCAATCCAGCAATATCATCGCTGCCTCTTGGTATTACACCAATGTTGTTACCTTTCTATGCGGTCATCTTGAATGATGCGTTGTTAGTGCCACCGTTTTAAACTCTCGCTAACTTGTAAACATTTAGGCAATATCTTTTATAATATCTTTTCTGGAAACCAAAGCGCTGGGTTCCTCGCCCTGAGTGGCTCTTTCATGCCAGCCGAAGCAGGGAAATATGTTTGCTTAATAGCTTCCTTGTTATGTCCTCATAAATTAAGAACTCACTTCATCTCGTCGCGCTCCACAAGAGGAAAACATCAAACATCTCGGCGAGGAACTCGCGCTCCGACTCAGGAAAAAGAAAGTTTGCTTTTGAAACATTCACAACACCGATGGAGAGAAAGCGAATCAGATACTCAGCCCGGATCATGTCAACCGAATCAAATCCCGTTGAACACACTCCGGATCACACACAGGTTTCCAAATGTTTGAGGAGGTTATTTGTGAGGAACGAGTGTATTTGAGCTCATTTGCATACAAGCAAATCAATATTTTATTCTTCCTTCGAGTCGCTGCACTGTTTTTACTCCTGTCACACCATCTTTTAGAAGGCACAAATATCTGTCAAAAAGACTTTTTTTTAAATATCGGACAACAAACATTTAATAATTAGAAAGGGGGGAAAGTATAAAACAACCTATTTAATGAGTTATTAAGCAAATTTACTCTAGTTAATGAGAACTCCAGGACTAGTATGTCCAGATTTTGTGCACATCAAAGTCAGCATCTGGTCTTTATTTGTGTATAACGACTGAACGGAGCCTCGGCAAACATCTCGGCAAGCAGAAACAAAAAGGTAAACTTTGAATATTGTGGGATTATCTGTTACTTAATGAGGCCGTTCGATCAGACAGAGCAAATAGCAGTATGTTAATTAGTGATTATACTCAATGATCCTGAGCACACATCTCAGATATCTGTGGTATTATGGGGCAGTTCACATTTATCAGTCTCTTATAGCCAGAAGCAATCAGACATGTGCATTCAAATCCGGATAAACCATGTTAAAATCAGTGCAATTTATGAAAATATCTTTGCATTTTGCAATGCATTTCGGATTTTAGAGGTATGCACAAACCTATAAGCTCTGTAAATTTTCTTTGTTCTGTCACAAAATTTGTGAAAGCTCAGAGTCCTCTTTCATTTGCATACGCTAATTGCTCGTTCTCATCATGCAGTATGAAGTAACCTCATTTGATAATACGACAAGACTAATAAATCACGGACTTCATCATTAAATGAATCACTTCCTATGGGAATTTTGATTGTTTTATCTAATTGTTTAAAATAAGACTAAACACTAAAATATTTCTACACCTGTGCCATTTATAATTATTAATAAATGATTTACATAATTTATAATAAAAGTCTTTAATTTGTGGGTGTTAATAATTGCTCATTTTTAAAATGCACATTTTCAGTGGCTTTTATTTGAGATTTTGACAATATTCTTTACAAAATATTTTGACATTAAACATTTTGACATTTCAAAATCATTTCAGAGATTTTCGTCTCTCTCTCTCTACATACACAGCATATTTTTAAACTAGGTGTTAAAGTTTAAGCCCACAGCAACATAGCCGGAAGAACTGCCTGTTTTATTATGTATAACTCTCTTTTTTCATTGCCTTTTTAAGATTGAAAATCTGTAAACATTTTATTATGTTATAATTATATGCATTGCTATCTATCTATCTATCTATCTATCTATCTATTCTTGACAACACTATGTTGTTGAAAACTACAGACTGACATAAAACATCTCTGCTTTAGACATCTTAGATTTGCATTCTGCATCACTAACATCAATAACGTATTATAAGCACTAAGCAGGTGTATTGTAATCAAAAGTAATAATCAAGTAAATACAGTCTTATAAATATTAATTTGTGGGGAAAAATAATTTTTTACTGAACTTCTATGTACTACCATATTTTGGTAACATTCAACAAAAAAAAAAATATTTTAAAGTTACTCATTGTGACTTCAATATTGACACTGAATCACTAATCTTCAATTATTGGGGAGGTCCTTCTACTCTGAGATTAATTACAGCAAGAGCTCATTTAATATAGTGTTTTGTCGCCACCTAGTGAATAGATACAAACTTGACAGCCGTTATTACATCCATCCTGTCGACTAGTTAGGTCAGAATATATACTGTCGGTTGCATATATTGATGTTTCCTTAAATATGGACACCGTAAAAAAAAAAAAAACATTTAATTTGTCTGCTAACAATATGCAACAGTGGATATAACATGCATCACAGAAGAATTAAGTCACTGCCATTTTTCGGAACAAAAAATACTTTCTCTTTTGTCATTTCCGTAACATCTCAAATTATGTATTGAGAATATATTCTCTTTAGGATTCCGTTAAGGGAAGTCTTGCTAAGGTTAATTTCATGACTAGCATTCTGTATAGCCTAATAATCTTTTTACAGTCTATGCTAATAATACACAAAAGTTTCACACTTCCTTCCAAAATTTGACAAAATGGAATAAATATTCTGTCTAAATATTTACCTTGGATTTATTCGCACACCACGTCTCATATTTTCTTTTAAACTCTTCACGGACGCTGTTGTCCTTGATAAACTGCGAGACGTGACAGTTATGTTCATTAAGTCTTTGATTAGATCATCACAGTTTTAAACATGCAATAAATCATATTTTCTACGATGGATTATTTATTTATTTGATGTTAGTTTTAAACATGTAATATTTCGTAATTTCAAGGCGGTTTTTCATAGTTTAAGATTGAAAGTCAGAGCCATGGTACAAAGGTAAAACAACAACTTTTTATAAATTAAAGAAATTTTTAAAAATTGGGCATGGGAGGCATGAAAAACAGCTTAATGTGACCTCCATACAGTATTATTTTTGTATCGAGATATTTTTTTGTTCATGTTTTAATTTTTAATATTTAAATTTTTTAACATTTTAATTTTAAAGTTTTATTAATTTTGTCTATTGTTATTTTTATTCGTTTTTTTAAATTATTTTAAAATGTCCGTATTGTTACTTTATTTTTATTTTTATTTCAGTTTTAGTTTTACTTATTTTAGTATCAAGATAAATTAAATGAAAATGACAAATGTTGCCCTGTCAGCTAGCTGAAATAAATAAGTTTACGTTTTTATATATTATTTTATGTTATTTCAGACACATTTACTTTATTTCAAGTAATGAGCTTTTTATTTGTTTGTTTTAGTTTTAGTTAACTATAATAACCCTGCCATAATAAAAAATAAGTTTGAAAAGTATTTAAATAAATATCAACACAAATTTAATCTCACACCCCTCAGTAATCTAATAAACACCCAATAAAACATTTCCACTTAAAAAAATCTAAAGTAATAAATACGTTCTTGTTAATGTACTTTTACTATTAACCTAGCATTAAATCAACAGATTATGTACTTCTTTACAGCCATTTCTGAGCTCATTCGTGACCCGGGAGACTTTTATTTTGAATTCGATCAACATTGTGACCGGAAGTTGTGTGTATTATTGAGTCAGACTTCACCTTAATTTACCCGACACTTCCAAAAGAAGAATGACGGCCGGTTAAAGCAACAGATGAGATGGGTCTGCGGAGTTTGTCAGCTATTAAACCCGTCCTCTAGACCGCTATTGACCGTTTTAAATGCTATTTCGTTACTCTTTGCTATGATCGACACACATTTGTCACCGTTATAAGTGTTTAACTGACAGCAGTCTTGCTGTAGGAAGGAAGCAGGAGAGGAGAGCGTCTGACTGCGCACTGCTGGCCCACTAAACACACTCTCATCGGGGACTTCACTTAAAAGGGCAAGATTGTTTTGCAACATACTTGATAGCCACACAAATGCTCGTATTTTAAACACACAGTCTGTTATAAGTATTAACATTAATCAGATATATCAAAGACTATGTGAAGTCGTTGTTGTTTTAATATTACGGTTTGTTTTTCGTGCAAAAGATTGTTTTTCTTGCATTTTCTGCTGATCGATTATAATCGATCACACATCAGTCATCATCGATCATGGCCACAGATGCAATAGCGACTGAAGAAGTCTCAAACCAGAGAGACTCGAGTGATCTGAACGCCAACAAAAGCAATCCCGAATCAGACACACCCAGCCGGACATCGGAGGCGCGAGAAAACAGAAATATAAGTAGCCCGTTATCGTTATCATCATCATCGGTTCACTCTGAGGAAGAACTATCTCAGGACTCAATAGCAGGGAATAATTCGCTGGAGAATGGAGACCGTCCGGTCCGAACAGGAGATCCGCCGCAGGAAGCAGCGACTCCAGACAATAGACAAAAACAAGGCGTGAGGACTTCAACTCCTGTGCGAGCGCCGCAAACACTCTCTTCACCAGCTGAACACAACGGAAGGTAATGGGAAAAACACGAAATTAACAGCAAGAAAAGCTTTAAATAAATCAAATGTTTGTGTCTCTCCTTAAAGGAAAGTAATAGTTCAGGCAAAGATGAGCATTTACTCACACTCAGGCCATCCAAGATGTAGATGAGTTTGTTCATCTGAACAGATTTGGAGAAGTTTAGCATTACATCACTTGCTCACCAGTGGATGCTCTGCAGTGAATGGGTGCCGTCAGAATGAGAGTCCAAACAGCTGATAAAAACATCTCAGTAATCCACACCATTCCAGTCCATCATTTAAAAAGTGAAAAAACAAGGCGTGAGGACTTCAACTCCTGTGCGAGCGCCGCAAACACTCTCTTCTCCAGCTGAACACAACGGAAGGTAATGGGAAAAACACGAAATTAACAGCAAGAAAAGCTTTAAATAAATCAAATGTTTGTGTCTCTCCTTAAAGGAAAGTAATAGTTCAGGCAAAGATGAGCATTTACTCACACTCAGGCCATCCAAGATGTAGATGAGTTTGTTCATCTGAACAGATTTGGAGAAGTTTAGCATTACATCACTTGCTCACCAGTGGATGCTCTGCAGTGAATGGGTGCCGTCAGAATGAGAGTCCAAACAGCTGATAAAAACATCTCAGTAATCCACACCATTCCAGTCCATCATTTAAAAAGTGAAAATCGGCATGTTTGAAAAACAAATCCATCATTGAGATCCATTCTATCTCAGAGGTCTTCCCCCTTTCGACTGTATCAACCGTTAAAATCATACAACAATAGTTATTTTGATCTAATCTGTTGAATTGACATTCATTTCATAGTTTTTATGACTGAAAATGTGGTATTTAGTGCCCCACATTTTTACTCCACCCAGTTATTATATCTTTTTTTCCCTATAAAAAGTAACATTACTTAAAATTTTGACTCACTGGAAGTAAAATAATTTGACGCTTTCTACCACATGATGCCAAATAAATGCTATCTTTTTCCAAAAAAAAAAATTCACACTGTATGGTGACTGCATCAAACTGAGCCATTCAGCCCTGTTACCAAAGTTATTATAAGAAAAAGTTTTTATTATTATGCTGAGTTATTGTAACCGAATCTAAAGCAATTTTCATCAACTGAAATAAACTAAAATATAAATATTAGGTTAAAAACTTGAACTTAGAAACTTAAAATTAGAGATGAATTTTTAACATTTAAAGTTAAAAATTAACACAAGAAAATGTTTTTTATTATCATTAACCAAGATTAATTAAATCTATTAGTTCGTGATAATATATTAATGTAATATATATATATTTTTCACTTATGTTTAATTTTGATGTACATTGAATTTTTATTGCGAAATTACCCAAATCAGGGTTTTAAACTATTTAGACACAAACCAAATCGTGGTAACAGGGTTGAAAACCCCATTAAATGCAAATGCTACTATTTTTATTTCCGAGGAGATCATTGGCCTACCACTGTTTGAAATTGCGTACTGCATACTGTACTTTTTATAAGATGTAATATAATGTAATGGTCTTGGGTGTCCCCAGAATGTGTCTGTGAAGTTTCAGCTCAAAATACCCCACAGAT